GAGCGGCGGTGGCTGCGCCTGGGAGCGCCGGGAGCCCTGGCTGGGCAGCTCGGGCTGCTGCAGCAGGAGGCTGCCCGGCAGCGGGACAAGATCCAGGCGTTTGAGAGCGACTTGGCCGAGATCCGGGCTGACAAGAAAAACCTGGAGGACATTGTGCGGAGCCTCCCCGAGGGCTGCTCGAAGTGACGGCGACAGGTCCCTGGGCACTGCCCCGTCAGCTCCGTGCCCCCCCGCACAGGGAACAGCAGAGCGAGGGTCCCCCTGCCTTCACCAGCATTGATCTCTCCTGCTGCTCTTCACATTGCCCACGATCTCACAGCCCAGGTCCTCATCTGCACCAGTTCAGGCTCTGTGTCATGACTTCAGCCACCAGCTCTGTCCTCAGGGCAGGGGGGCTACCAGGGACCACCAATGCTTCTGTATGGGAGAAAAAGCCATCACAGGGTTGGTTTTTCACCACGGAGTGAATGAAGAATGGTCACAGATCTCCTTCATGCTAGACACATCCCTCCATCCTTCCTGTGCACAGAGCACTGGGGAGGGACAGCTTATCAAGTATGTAAAGTACCAGAGCTGGAACACCCAGCAGTTCTTCCTGCCCCAGGAGATGAGAGAGACTTTTGGATGCACACTGGAAGCTGGTCCTGCTGCACAGCACCCTGCACTCACCTGCTGTGGTCACAGAGGTACAAAGTTGACTCGCAGAGTTGCTCACCAGAGGACATGCAGCTTGCCTGCTCCCCGGGGGAATGGGGCTCGCAGTAGGGGGGGCTAAACTGGGAGCAAGCAGAGGCAAAGCTGGACCCTTAACCAGCTCCTGACAGGCAGGTGGGGCATCCTCTGCTTGCTGCAGGATAAGAGCAGCTCTGCTCTACTCACCCAGGGTAGGACAAGGTTGCCACTGCCCACAGCTCTGGTCTTTCTGTCCTGTCCCAGCTCTGCTTGTCTTGCTGGGTGTCACTAGGTCTGGCTCTACACCAGCCCAATTGCTGGCAGTCCCAGGGGTGGCAAGTGGGAGCTGCTTCACCCCCCCCAGCCCCACACCAGCACCCACACACCCTCCCCACTGGAGAGGAGCTGGCTGGTGGGACCCGCTGGCTGCACAGGGGGCAGCT